ATTGCTCTGGTTACGAGAAATAGGTGATCCGTGGATCTTGCTATAAGGATAGGACAGGGGAATAAGAACGTGAGTTACTTATTCCTCAGGAAGGATTAGGAGATATAGAAGGAGCGGCGGCTTACCGTAGGATTACGGATGATAGGTGGTCAACCCTAAGCCGGTCAAAATCCTCGAGAACAGCTGTTCACGAAGTAGCCTGTAAACAGGGATCTTGTCAATGAATGACAAGAACAAGATCCGTAGACCAGTGGATAATCCAACTAACACGTTGGAGGGCAGGGTTCCTTGTGGGAAGGCACGCCTAAGAACAGGCCAGAAGGTCGAGTGGAAAGCGCAAGCGATGAACACGACAGAATCCAGGGTATCCTTAGGGAGGAATGACTCGCGCGGAAGGGTGAATCTGAGGACCAGATTCAGAACTGATTCGATAGGAGGAATCGACAAGGATTCGGAGAAAACTCCTTCAACGAAATTCTCGGAGTGGAACTAGATAAATGGATTCTTTCGAACGATTTGATAGTTGGGCTTCGAGATGATCTAAGGCTAATAGATAGATATCTATTGGTAAAGATGGTATGGTAAAATCAGATGCCTCCCTTCTTGGTTGGAAGGGAGGCTCGTTCTTTATATCAGTTCTCGTGGTCCGCCAACCTGTGGTTGGCACAGTCATTTTGTCCGTGGCTCTCATCGAGGTAGGTCTGCCCACTCTATCTTTCCCGATTGGGATGAGCTGATAGAGTGTCGTGGTTTCTCTCTTGTTATTGGCTGAGTAGTCAAGGGGGCTTCTCTGCCATAGTTCCTTCAGGCGTGTTTAATCACTTAGGGTTATGTTTCGTGGTTGCTCCCGGTTACTAAGGTTTTGTTATTGTTATAGTGGGCGATGCTTGTGCGCCCAAACGTGATTGGGACACGACCCGCGCTAGGACTGCCGAAATTTGGGCCTTAGCGCAATTACCGAACAGTCGAAGTACCGTGGACCAAAAGGAGCGCACGTATGGTCTTCGGGATTCCGTATTGGACACTTTCAAGAAAAACATCCAGGGGGCTTACGATTTGCATGCTAGACCTGATGTCGAGCGGATGTGCGAGGAACTGAACCTTTGGTTGGGTGATCACTTGTTCAACCCAATGTTGAGGCTCAAAGGTTTGATCTCCGGTTGCTTTGAAAGATTAGAATTTGGATGTTGTGCTCATGATCTCGATGTAGGCTTTAATGGCCATACAGATACCCCCGTCGAAACTTTGCATGTCATACTTCTTGGAATCGCAAAGTACCTATTTCGAGACACCATGAAGTCTTTTGGTGTTTTGAAACCAGGCAGCAAGATTCACGTTCAGCTCACAGGTCGCTGGCGCGCGTTCAATACCAAAGGTCTCAACATCGCCCCGATACAGCCCAACACTTATATTCAATTTTTTCAAAGTTTGGTTGGCAAAGATTTCCAGACCATCCTTCAGTCCGTTCCCTTTGTTTTCTTCAATTTGATTTCAATGTGTAGGCGCCACCTATGGACCGCCCTGTGTTTACTGGCCTCTCATGTCTTTCAAAACGAGATCACCTGCGTGGAAGAATACCTGGTAGATCTGGAGCGTGCAATCACCCTTTTTCTCCACGAACTAATGAAGGACTCGGCCCAATGGGTCAATAAGCCCAAATTCCATATGCTAACACATATAAAAGATTCCATCAAGTCCTTTGGCCCGACGCATTTATACATGACCCAGAAATTTGAATCTTTCAACGGCGCATTACGAGCAGCTTCAGTTCATTCAAACCGTCTCAGTCCCGGGCGCGACATTGCGGAATCCTTCAACAATTATCAGATGTTGCGAATGC